GATTTTAAATGAAATAATTGTTTCCAGTCAGAGTTTTTAATGTTACCTATTACTGTAAATGCTAGATAAGCTAAAAAAGTGTGGAATTTGAAACCAGTTGTTCAAAAATATTTTAAATCATCTTATTGATACTTGCATAGTTAGCATAGTTGTATAAAATACATAAGCCCCTTTAAAGATCTGTCATTAAGTGATAAGGGTATTGCAGCTGTCTTCAAAAGCAAGCATTTTGTGCTTTTTATCTGTTAAAAATAGAAAATAAAATGTGTGTATTATCAACAGTTTTTTATGTACAAGTCATTAAATCCATTTACCTTACTTGAAATTGCTTTTCATGTTTCTGTGGAACTTTATATAAGGTTGCTCTGAAACCGATTTCCTTGTAAACTGTTTATTTTTCCTGTATTCTAATTATATCTGTCTTTTGCTCTGACAAAAAATACAGATATTACACAAATGAAGCAGAGGAAGTTTTTTGCTCAGTAGTAATTTTCCTCTCATTTGCAGTGTCTAAGTTATTCCCCATTAATTTAATCATGACTATAGAAGAAAATGCTTTTTTTTTCCTAATGTGCATGAAATACTCCAGTTGTTCTTCTTGCAGTTTTATAACCCTTTCATATTTCTAACCTTAACCTTGATTTCAGTTCACATTCCTAGAGACCTTTTTGTCTTAAAATAATATAATTGAGTAGAACTACATAATCAGTTGATGCATCAAAACTCTGTGGAACAACATGATTTTTAGAAAATACGTTCTTTAACTTTGCACTAGGCTGAATTTCAGTAAATACATTGAGAGTGTGTCTGTCTGTACTAATATGTCAATTAGGAATTAGTAATACTGAGTACCAGTATAATAGTGAAATACACCATACCGTGTACGTTCTGCAATCATGTATACTGTTCAATTGTTAACACTCACCCTGGCAGATTTTGACCTGAGCCAACCATAATTCTCCCAGACGATGCTTGGACATGCTTCAGGGAGTAGCACAGTGCATAGGTCGTATGATGTCCTTCAGAGGGAAGGGGTGTAAGCCATGATGTGTCAGTTTTTTCTCCTGAGTAATAAGCAATAGGACAAGAGGAAATAGCCTCAAGTTTTGCCAGGGGAGGTTTAGATTGGATATTAGGAAAAATTTCTTCACTGAAAGGGTTATCAGTCATTGGGACAGGCTGCCCAGGGAAGTGGTTGAGTCACCATCGCTGGAGGCATTTAAAAGACCAGTAGATGTGGTGCTTAGGGACATGGTTTAGTGGTTGGACTTGGCAGTGCTAGGTTAATGGTTGGACTCGATGATCTTAAGGGTCTTTTCAAACCTAAATGACTCTGATTCTATGATACATTTGCTCTTTTAAAATCAAGGAGAAGGTTAGTGTCCCATTTGATTTATAGTATGAGAAGGAATCTTGAATTCTGCCTCCCAAATGTTCCCTTCCATATGCATGCTGTTTTTCCTAGCTCCTTCAGTGTTTTCAAAATGTCTGGTTTTGTTGATTATGGCCAAAAGTGTCCAGACATGTGAGTCACAGCGAAGAGATCACTGGCATCAAACTGTGTTTTGTGGTCCTGCCAGATATTCTACCTCAGGCTCACTGGTGCTTTCATTCTTCCAGTCGTGTCTTTCTGTAGCTCATCCATAAAAAGTGGCTATAGTGGTTAAAGTAATATCTTTTTTTAAACAAAAACCTGGAAAAAAAGTGGATGTCTCTCACTTGATCCTTGTTCTTTTGTCATACGTAAAAGCCCTCTCTTGAAATCTGATTTCATACTTTATGATAAAATATTATTATATTTTGCTTATGCATTCATATTTACCTTCACTCCTGTTTGCTACAGCGTAGCTTCAACCTTTAATCCATGTTTTTACTCACAATCAACATCTCAGCAAGAAGCACAGAAGATATAACAAGTCATATTATGTTATGTACATAAGAGGAATGTAGGTATAGAGTATCTTATTTTGTACAAATCAGTGAATAGACTCCTGAATGAGCTGTCAAAATTATATGTGTTTTCCTATGAAAAGGGTAGGGCAAAATGTCTGAGTTACAAGAGATCTTAAATAAATTATCTGGAGGAAAAGGCAATCTGCTGTATAAATATTTCAGGTTTTGAAATTGAAGCCTTTACGTTGATCTGCACTTAGAGGCCTGGCCTTATTTTGTAACAGATAATACTATGTCAAAGCAGTGTTTAGTTCTGCTTGGCAGCTGTTGTATTCATACTAAATTATGTCAGATTTAATCTTGAATATATTCTACAAGAGCACCCAGTTGTGCTGACAAACCTAAAATCATTTTCAGTTAAATATGTTCTATCACAAACCATTTGGGCACATTGCCTCTCTGAAGAATGACAAAGTCAGTGTGCAAGCTCTGCTTTATAATTCCTGCTACCTGTTGAATTCCCATATTCTATCCAAACATCCCAGCAGTAGACTCCTTAGGTGTCCTACTGGAACATTGCAGTAGCAGAGGTAGACAATGTAAGGCATTTTCTCAAGGGTATTACTTTCACAATCTTTTTAATTGAACATGCTTGATTCAGCACTGCTTGTGTATTCATTTGTACTTGTTCAAAGGGAATGCAATTTAATTTTAAAATACTCTCAAATCACTGCAATACTCATTTTACATGATGAAAGAACATGACAATAAAGTGGATAATCTGGTTCTCAGAATTTTGTAAAGAGAACTGAAATTTTTCTTGGAGAAGAAACAACAAAAGTCAAGGTTCACTTGCAGAATACTTCAAAGAGTATCCTGTAAATCCTGGGTCAAACACATTGTATAGGGAGGGCACCTTGTTAATTGCAGTGATGCTGTAGTGAGGAGATGACATAAAGGTCAGGAGAACAGTGTGTGAGAACCTAGTTTAACTGGAGAAGAACAGAGAGCTGTAGTCGATGGCACAAAATCAGCTCTTCTGGAGAGCACTTCATCGCAGGAAACACACTGGAGTGCTCTCAGGCATTCTCAAGAGAAGCCTTTCTCCTTCCCCTTACTCACTGTAGCGGGAGCATAGGAAACTATATGTTCCAAAAGTGGGATGGAAGAAACACTTCTGCCCTTCCCCAGCTAAACCCCCAGTGCTTTAGGGTGCTCATTTAAAATGTAAGGAGAGTCAGTTTATTTTTCTAGGAAAGTCTGAGTACTTGTCATGCTTCCCTACTGTATGCCTTAATCACTTTCTAGGTTTGTCTGCTTTTGTAGTTCCGCTTTTTATATAAGTAATTATGCAAAGGCTAGAACTCAGGTGTTCTCTCTTCTGATGAGTTTTGTAATCTTTCTAATCTGCTGTGACAAATACTTAGTCGTTTCGTTATGGTGTGCAGTACTGTAGATAGTTTTGAATGTGAATAAGTAATTTGCCCTCCCACGTGGTGTCCCAGTCAGCAGTTCTCAAGAGCTCCAAGGAGCAGTTACGTCTCTAGGAGTTTAACCTGCTGGGATATTTTGATTTTGAAACAAACATTTGTGTTATAGATAGTGACAGTAAGAATCAAGGAGTTTGATGTGCTAGGTTAGGATGAGAATTTGAGCTTCACCTCAGTTCTGGTTTCCAATTCCAGTCTCTGCTTGGAAGACTATACAAAGAAAAAGACCATTTACAGCGGCAATGAAGAGACATCATTTCTTCTGTAACCTGAAGATTGAGGGAAATCCTTAGCATAGACTGGTTTAAGTAACTTCAGGAGGCACGAATAACTATTTAACGTTTGTAAGGCAGCTGCTACTTTGCAACTTTAACTCCTTGTGGACTTGATAGCATTGTGTTTCACATCTGTAGGCATAGCTGAGGAAGTTCTCTCTTCAAGGTAAATTAATGCTGATCACTGAATTTTCTGATCAGTCTGACATCTGGGAAGTACTCTCTCAGCTGATGTACATTTACTGAGAACGCATTGTGTAAGCACCATTTGGATTTCTAAGGCTGTATTCTTATAGCTCTTTGTAGGTCACCAGTGATGGTGATGAGGCGTGCAGGCAGTTCGTTTTTATTCCTTCAGCATTCTTCAAAGTTGGAGCTTGGTCCTGAGTGCAGTAAAAATAAGGAGGGTGTCAGAATCATTCTGCCGTGGCTAATGTGATCTCTGATGCTTGGTTGAGGGGGAAAATCTAGCACATTGCAAAGAACAGATTTCCCTTAAGTTTCATTTCTGCCACCTCCTCACACAGGAAAGGAGGAGAAGAGAGTTTGATAGTGTGCTGCCAGTTAAGTGGATTTTGGTTTCAGGCTAGAAAGGACAAACTATCTTGATGTTATGTATTTTGGGTGGAATCAGAAATCCAGGAATAGGAGCCTAGATTCCTATATAGTACATAAGCTAACACCTCAGCGTGGCAATCCATGAAGTCTTCTGTATTCGGTCTACAGGTGTCTATTAGAAAGAGTTCCAAAGTGGGGAGAAGCTAAGATACCTAACTCAAGGCTGCAGGAAGATCCCACAGTTTACTTAGCAAATTTGTGGCCAGACATGTTTTCATTGGAGAGGATGCCTAAAATAACTCTTTCCAAGAATTGTGCAGGGTGTTTGAAAAACAGACTAGGTGGGCATTCAGAGCTTTAATCTCCTAAATCTACTTCAGAGGACTATTATCTTTAGTATATACTGGTTTTTAACTAGCTGGACTGATGCTTTATCCTTCTTAGGAGAGGCATTTCTGTTTCCATTCAACAAGGTTATAGGAGTTGTTCAGTAGCCCTTAGGAAAGTGTTATGATCTAGGTGTCCTAAGAACTTCTGGATCTCCACTTGGATTTCATTGAGCACATGGTGTAGCCTTATCCCTGGATATAGTATGTAGACAGCTGGTATTTCATAATATTGTTAAGATGTTATCATTCAACTCTCCATTGTATCTACGTATTGGTTTTTTTCTTATTTTCATTGACCAGGTTTCTCGTCTACATTTACGTAACTATTCCAAGCTACCTAGTCTGATGAAGTTGAACATTCTTCAAGTGTGATTTACTCAATACAGCCTATAATCATGATGAAAAAGAAGAGCATATCTGCAAGCAAAGCTTCCTTGGTCCTCTTTCTGTGCCAAATGATTTCTGCATTGGATGTACCTCTTGATTGTAAGTATGAACCTGCTAAATAAGTGCAGAATAATGGAAGATTAGTTAAATAATTTCTGTTTAGGAAGATGAAGATAACTCCAACATGGAGCTAAACATGGAGTATGTTTGCTCACTTCAGTCAGGATATTATGATTATGAATATTTACACTAATTTACTGAAGATTTTCAAAAACTGTGCATATAAAATGGCTGACATTGTTCACTTCAGAAGGGTTAACATAGGATTCTCATGAGTACTCACACTTGGGTGTGCCTTTATTGAGCACTTTATTTGATGAAAATGAAAAAGGGCAGAGAAGCCCGGTTAAATGCTAATTATTTGTGAAATTAAGATCATATTCACAATTTGCTGAAAACCCCAGGACAATTCCTAGTTGCTGTGAACAGTTAACCTTATCTTCATATAAGAGGTTTCCAGGAGCTGATATGCGACCTAGTAAAAGATTTAAATACCTAAAATTCAGACACTGGAAGCATCTTACTTTTTGATCCAGAAGAGTAAGGCTCTTAAATTTCCTAAGTAGTACCTGAAGACACTTAAGTACCTAACTTTAAGTTAAAAGCCTGTGTGCTGAGCAGGGAACTCTAGCATTAACCAGTGAGGAAAATCCAGAGGGGAAATCCCAAGATCTGAAATTCTTGCCTAACATAGGACTGTGTCAGTGGGGAATGTTGAAAGTAGCACTCCATGCCGATAGGAAGCAGTGGAGGCTGCCGCGTTTTATAGCCCTAATAGCTAATTTTATGAAATTATTCATGCTTCAGGTTGTTATTTTCTTCTTAAGATACGTATGATCACATTTTCAGAATTCAGTGAACCATGCTGCACCTCACAGTGACTATTCATTTGTTAAACTAATTACCAGAGAAGAGAACATTAGAGCTGGTGTTAGATTGATGGATTAACACATCAGTAAATTTTCCTATGATTCTAATCTGCATGGCTTTCTTTACCCCCCCCATGTTTTTGATACCTTCCTACCTTCCATAAATGCATGTTTTTCTTTAATAATCATTGATGTAAATTGCAACTGCTTTGGTGTTTTTTTCTCCATGCATATTTACCAGCCTCTCAAACCAATGACCTGTATTCTGTAACGAGATCAATATATCTGAATTACATCAGACTTGCTGTGCTGTGAATGCCTTTAGAGCAATAAACTGTGGCTTAAAGAGGGCTTTAGAAGTTTGATGAATGAACGTTTTATTTTCTAAACTGAATTTTTCTCCCTAAATATTTTTGCAGGCTAGCAATAGTGTTTTAAACCCATCTTGTAGTCTAGCAATGAATGTAAATTGTGCACCACTCTAACATCTTTTGTATAGAGCAACACTTCAGGTTAAATTAACCAGAAATGCATCAATAAACAAAAATGAGCAGCCCTTTTAGATGTATCATGTTAACTTTCAATTAACTTGTTCCCTACTACATAATGTTTAATAACTTTATGAGGTCTGATAAAGTCATATACTTGAATTTTTAGCTAAAAATCATATTAACTGAAATTACATCTATAATGATGTTATTGCTTTCATAGATAATGATTAGAATGGGCTCTGGGAGAAGCACCACAAGGGAAAGACTTACATTTTCTGCGAGTCTTCCCTACATACCCACCACAGAGACCCAGTGGTGAGAACATACTTGATTAATTGAACCTTTAGGTTTCATCCGGGTTAGCAATTCCTGTGCTCGTCAGTGTCTCAAAGTAGGTAAGGGATGACTGACAGTGTAGCTGAGCAAAAGCAGTTTGACTTACTCTAGAACTTTACTGATGCAGAGACATGTATGCAAAACATTTGAAGTCAGCAATAAAGATGTGACAACTACGATGATTCTTTTTGTTTTGTTATTTTTCAAACCAAAAGGGATTGCATGTCATTTGAATAGAATTAGGTGCTTTTGTCTTTATAAGAGTAGTTTTAGCCTGAAGCATTCTCTTTGTTCTTCCATATGATTGTATGGGTGGATTGATTTTGACTGCAGCATGAGGGCAGTGCATTCCATTAATTCTGATTTGCTGTCTCCTCAGTGTCAGTGTTTTGTGTCCTTGCGAGGCCAAAATCACATACCACGGTTGCCCTTAAAAAGTCAACACTTCAGAGAAGTTTCTCATACCGTGAACTTTGAGATAAATGTAGTAATATCTGACACAATGGAAATCGTGGCTGAAATTTCAGGCATTGCTGCATGGGTTAAAGTGCTAAATGTTTTAAATGTTTTCTTTTTAATGGTGACCAATGCATTTGTCAGAGATACTTATCTTCCCTCTCAAAAATGCTAATTTTCTTTTAACTAACAAATGTTTCTCTTTAATCTCCATTTGTCCATTCAACTGCTGGTTCTGATGGGGGAATAAAAGCAAAACTTCTAGAAGAATGTAAGTTCCTGTCCACAAAAACTAGGCTGTGTGCTGCTGAAAATTAATACTGATTGTGTTGCAAATTGAATTTGCAGTCCAAAAATGTGTGATTCTAACATTTTGTTGATAATTTGGTTTGCTATAGCTAGATGTTTTGTGCATGCAGTGTGCAGAAAATGCTACTGTACATAAATCAGTCTTCTGATATTTTGAACAAATTAATTGTGTGATTTTTGATTGTGTGCTATCTGAACATTAAAATCTTTACTCAATATCAGCATGAGAAATGTTTTATTACTACTTTCAGGAGTAAATATATTTGCTAAAAATAAATTCATTGGAATATATGTACTTACATACTATTTTACATGTCCAAGTTGGAGATACTTTTATATCCTTAAAAAACAGTGGATACAGTTATTTAAGCAGACCTCATCCTTTATGGGATCTCCTAACTCAGCTCTAGTGTCTTGGTTAATTTAATAAGTTGTAAGTAAGTGCAGTGCATAGCACAGGAGTGGAGATGTGAGGTCTTTGATGCGTATCAGATGGAATATCCTGTATGTTGGGCAGTGTTCATGTCATGTCCCTTTTCAGAGTGTGCTTGCTTTTCCCAAGGAAGCATCTGACATGTACTGACCCTGAGAACTGCCTCTGAGGGGGAAAAGGACTGTCTTCAAAGTGCCTCTCTAAAGAAATGCACAAAAAGTCATCATCATGTAAAAATGTTGCCTTCCTCTTTGAAGCAGTGAGGAAGAGGAGCAAAACCCAGCTCAGCGTGGCCTGTTCCTTTTTCCTTAGCTGCTACAGCTCATTATGATTCCATGATCTGATTTCTCCTCCTGGCTATTTCCTCTGGATAGGGCTTTACAGACAGCTACCTCTTTCCATGCAACAGAGTACTTAATGTGTAATGATAGGGAAGACTTAAAATAAAAATCCACGTTTTACAATTTTAACTGGCTAGAGTGAGGCATGAGAACACAGCTAACTCTAATGATTGAAATATTTTGCTCAAGTGTCTAGAAATGACCCCAAAGTGTATTGCTGGACAGACGATTTACAACATTTAGACAGGAAAGTTCATGGGCATGTTATTAAACTGATTCCTTTAGATGACACTAAATTATAAACAGATGAATAATGTTGAGGAAGATACCTTTCTCACTATCTTAATAGCATAACCAGGATTTTTTTAATGCAAAAATGAGCATAGATAATGATAACAGATTATAAATTACTTTAAATAGGTAGGTCACTTTGTCAGGTGAATAAATTCTGGTTTATACTGCTCATTCTAGAGTACTTGATAAATCATAAGTGTTAAATATTTGTTTCTCCTGGAGCAATTCACAAGATTGACTGTATTTTTGTGGGTTTTTTTAAGGAGAATCAGTACTACGCTTTTCCTACATCTTTACTTTTATTTGAAAACTAGTTACTATATTTGTCATTTTTTATGGAGTCTTATTACACATTTTTTACTCCTGAAAAGTAGCTCCTAAAAGCATGCTTTGTAGATTAATTCAATATGTTGAGCACAATAAATGTGTGAAAACATCCATAGAGAATTTGGAAATACATAAAATGCTTAGAAATACAAAGCAATGATTTTTTTTTTCCTTCTGTGTGGTAAAAAAACCATTTTGTGTGTGGGTATATGTCTCACAATTCTTCATTCAGGATATGTTGGACTTAGAATTCAAGCGTCCTTTGGTTTTGTGAAAATCTGTTGAAATCTAACATATTGAAATGATATTCATTAAACTTTTTGGCCAAGATCTTCATCCACTGTAAATCAGCATATTTCAGTTGGAAGTGAGTGTAGCTACACTGATTTGCAAGAGTAGAGGGCTTCAGCCTCCTAATACAAAGGATACTTTAATCTCACTCTTCTATCAATGATTTGATTGCTAATTGCAATTCTGCTATCTCTGCTTACAAAACTGTCTCGCTGATGCTTTGAAAATATTGTAAAATTCCTCTCTGTTTCTTATATTCCATAATGAAGTGTTGCAACCTCCTACGATAACTCAGCAATCTCCAAAAGATTACATTGTTGACCCTCGAGAGAATATTGTAATACAGTGTGAAGCAAAAGGAAAGCCACCTCCTAGGTTAGTAGCATTTTGTTTTGCTTTTGTTGGCCTGACAGCATAGAAAAACTAGGAGAAAATAATGTAACTTTTGTAAACCGACAAGTATATGCATATGTATGTGCTTGCACACGCAGAAACACGCACGCACTCCTGCCTTAATTTAAATAGCTAACAGATAGTGTCATAAATTTGACTCTTCTCATACTGGACATTTAAACTTTTCTGTCATCATCAAGCAGCTGTAGTATTATTTTTTTTTCTCCTCAAAGCACTAACAATAAAATAATACTGGATTATTACAAGAGCAGATAGGTAAATGCCCATGGAAAGCACTAAGAGGCATGCCATACTATGAACTGGATCACATTCCAGATTTAGGCGTAATGTCTAAGAAGAATGGACGTTGAATAAATTCAGAGTAACACTAATAAATTCAAATTCAATATTTTGGAAATCATTCCATTTTACGAAACTCACTTTGAAATACATAAGCATTTTATCAGAAGTTGTGTAATGTGTACCAGTTTTAATGATCAGTAGCCTCAATTTGCCAAGTGTATTTAATTGCCTTAAGTTTGGGGTTTGGCAGAAATGGTAGCCCTGTGCGTAGATCAGATTCCTGATCATCTTCCATTTTAAGGCCCTGTTTCAGTATCTTGAAATATTTGAAAACTACTTATTTCAAGATACCGAGTACCTGCCCTGGAAACAGCAGGAGCCGTGATGCATTCTGGCATTGCTCGTAACTGCTGCTGATTTCAGAGGCTATGAAGGGAAATGTGCATCTCTCTGCTCTCAGTAGTGTTATGCTACAACTTACTAGCAAGGTTAGTCTATAATTGTTCATTCAGACACACACAGAGCTCATTAAATGTACTGCTGAATAACCAGGGGTTTTTCTACATTATTCCTTCTGGTTGCCTTGGGATTGTGGTCATTATCCTGCTGGGCAGGAGAAAGACGATGGAGATTATCTGTGATGCTGTCACTCTTTCTAGTGTTCTCTTAATGGTCGGAGTGCCATAAAGCTCCTGTTTACCAGTATTTGAATGTAGCAGGCACAATGCCATTCTCAATAGTCTGGGTGTTGGCCCGAAGGATCAGATGATTATTGCATACTTTCGGACAGCTCTACTGCTTCTGCAGATATTTCTCCTGAACACCTTTTTGGAGTTGGATTTACCTGAGAGAACAAGAGCACTGTCCGTGAGACTGACCTATCTGACTCGTGTGCCTGGGCTCTCCGTTCTACAGCCTCATCTTTCCCATCAAACCGATGTCTCACTTTGTTCCCCTGCTACTGAGGAAGTGACAGGATTTAAGTGCAGCATTTTCTGATGAGTTTTATAAGCTTGTGCTTAGTTTGCTTATTTTTAAAGAATGACATCCAAATATTTTATTTCAATAATTAGTCTGGTCCATCAGTCTTGATGACCTGCAAATGCATACTGGAACTAGAGCTGCTTCACAGCTCTGAAGTTGAAGATGAACTTTCTCAGTCCAGAGTGTGAATTATTTGTTAAAACAGGAGAACTTCTTTTTCATGAGAGCATAAAGGTTTATGGATATGTTACTACCTACAGCTTGAGCAGCAAAGATTCTGACTTCCATGTATCTCAAATTCAGGGATTTGTACCACATTTGCCACCTCTCATTTGAAGCTGCATTACAGTTCCCGGTGTCCTTCAGTGTTATTGGTAGCGGACGATTACAGAAACCCCACGTTCTGCAGCTTCACCCACAAGGTTGTAAGAAGCAGGTTCACTATTGGTTCACTATGCACACTAATCCTCCCAAAAACACAGCAGTGTGGTGCAGTGCTGCTGCTCAGGTCCCAGTTCTTCTGCTCTCCCCCACCACAACGTGCAAATAGTCTTGCCCTCCTACTGCAGAAGGTCAGAGCACAATTTAAGTCACTTAAAATTTGAGCTTTTCTGGTACCGTATAGGTTTATACTTATAGGAAGCATTCTAACCAGTAAGCATATATAGTGTTTCTGTTTAAGATTATGAAGCTGAAATGTAACAAGTACAAAAATTGCTGTTTGCAACGTTTGAACCTGTGAGTGCTCAGCACTTCACAGGCTTTGGTCTAACTCTCTGTAACTATACTTTCAGCCATTTACAAAGCCTAAGTAAGAAATCGGTGTTTATGGCAGTATATGCTCATTGTGAATCTCTGCTTTTTACAGTTTTTTAATGAGTTCTAATACTCTTCATTCTTAGTGACTGCTTTTCAAAACATCTCTTGCTTTGAGTAACACCAATATAAAGTTACTAGATTCGTTATGGGCTATCAGACTGCAAAATTTCATTTAAAGAATCATGGTGGTTTGCCAACCATGTGAAATCAAACTCACGACAAAGTCTTTAATTCACTTGCATAACTTTAAAATGGCCAAGCCAATTAAAAGAAATGGTTTCCTGCTGGGACCTGAGATGACACATTTCAGCCCAGAGCAAGTTTTTAAAGGCAGGTTTATAAACCCTTTCAACAATAGGTTTTATAATGGAAATGCTAATGCAGCTTTAGCAATATCAGTTCTCGCAGATGTTACTGTATCATCTTTAGTAGAAAGAAAATCTGTTCTTTTCCATATACGATTAACTTCAGAATCTTTTAATGTAATTTTTTTTTCAAATACTGACTTTGAAATGGCTCCTGTTAACAAGTTCAGCCAAGCCTTTTATCTTAAAGTATTGCTAGATTTCTTATAATAAAAAGTGCTCTATTACTTTATTAATTAATTTAGTTTGGGAACAAGTCTTACTTATGTGCTAAAGAAAAAATACCATGTATTATTGAAGATTACTTGTTTCTTCTTTCTCTCCATACAATCTACAAAAGGCAACTGAAGAAGAAACTTTTCTTCTTGTTTTTATTGTTTTAGCTTCTCCTGGACACGCAATGGAACTCATTTTGATATAGATAAAGATGCACAGGTAACAATGAAACCAAATTCAGGGACCCTTGTCATTAATATAATGAATGGTGGGAAGGCAGAAGCATATGAAGGAGTGTACCAGTGTACAGCAAGGAATGAACGAGGAGCAGCCATTTCCAACAATATCGTTATAAGGCCTTCTAGTAAGTGAAGTTCTTAACATTCATAAAATGTGAAACACTTCGGTTTGCTTCTTTTCCTATGAATGTTTTGCTTTTTTTTCCCTGTCTTAAAAATTTAATCATCAAAGTGATTGTGTTAGAAGGTATTGTATAGTTTCTGATATTCAGATTTAATAATGTATTGCATGTTCTCTCCAATATTCCTTAGAAAATTTAATAACCAAAATGCTTTCCTGACTTTTTTCAGTACGCCATGTACCTGTCATGTTTAAAATTGAGTTGTACATGTGATGCTACAATTAAAATAAAATGTTTAAATTGTTAATGCACATCATTGGTGAGGACAATTTTTATTCTCTTTCTGATGCATGTATCCCATAGTTTTTATAACAGATTTAATACAGAACAGATTGGGACCAAAAAGAATATAAAGCTAAAAAATTTTGATTAATGGTAGACTGCCTCTACAGCTTTTTATGCAATTTTTCTCTCAGGTCAGTTTTTCAAGGTTCTCAGCTTAAAATGTGTTGTTCTTACATCTTTTAATAAAACTGTGTGTGTATAATACTGTTTTATGAATGTCTACCTTTTTTTCTAATTTAGTGCATCGCTTTTTTTTTTATCATCGTCATTAAAACGTTCCAAGATACTGTTATAGAACCTTTAGTGAGTAGCCAAAATCATTTGAATCAGCTGGTTATACTTTCAGCGAATCATTGCTATACAAAATGTTTTAAAGAAAACCTACTTTTCTCCCAAGAAAACATAAACAAGAAGAAAAATTAAATCTGTAGTAAACATGATATGACTTAACATTCTGATGCATATATTTCTTCTGTTTTTCTGGAATATTATGTGCATTTCTTCCTTAAATTCTGGAATTTTTATCAATCCATAGTTTGTATATGTGTTAAAATTATTTTCTATAGGATCACCTTTGTGGACGAAAGAAAAACTAGAGCCAAATCAGGTTCGAGAAGGTGATTCACTAGTACTACACTGCAGACCTCCTGTTGGCTTACCACCACCTATAATATTTTGGATGGATAATGGTGAGTGTGGTTTTTATGCAGAATTGGTTTCCTTTTTGCAGTTTTTCTACATAGCTGATCATTGCTTACCAAGACCACAGATGGTGGAGTTTCCCTCTAAATTAAAATTCAAAGAATTTCCATTTCTGTAGAAATGAAGAAACAAGCAGACATGCAGCGCAAAAGCATGAAGCCAAAAGCAGACGGAGATCTTAATGTAAGTTGTAGATTAACCCCCTGGGGAAGAATGGGAAGACAAGGGAGCTCAAGAGGAAACTTAGAAAGGTTTATGTATTGACAAACCCACAAACAGCGTAATCGAGTGAATGTGGAGTCTGCAGATCGTAATAAAGGAGTGTGTGTTATAACTGAGATAAATGCGCTCTTGTTTTCCCTTAGCTTTCCAAAGGCTGCCTCAAAGTGAAAGAGTTTCCCAAGGTTTAAATGGAGACCTTTATTTTTCTAATGTACAACCAGAAGACACCCGGGAGGACTATATCTGCTATGCAAGATTTAATCATACGCAAACTATACAGCAGAAACAACCCATTTCTGTAAAAGTCTTTTCAAGTAGGTATTGCATTACCTAATTACATACTTACATAGTATTTAGCCAGAATTCTCAAGTTATTTGCCAAAGTTAAGTAGCGTTACTCTGAGGAATTTTGTCATTTTAATTCTGAATAAGAAATTGCATTACTGTATAAACTTAAAATGTAATCTCCAGTTTTCTGACATATAATTCATTTTAAAAGTTGTCATTTTTTCCCTTTATAATGCTTTGTCTTATGAAAAAATGTTTTGTAAGATTTGAAATACTGAAAAAATTTGGTGTAAACATCCCAATAATTTTCAGATGGTTTTCATGTCCAAGAATATAAAGTTATTATGATTATTGTAACTATTGAAACAAATTAATCAATCATTTGATTAACTCGCCGTGGCCATATCATCACCTTTTGATTCCCAGAACTTTGATTTATCCCTCTTGTATGCATTCTTCATGATATTCTGTTTATTTCAGTGGATTCATTGAATGACACTATAGCTGCTAATTTGAGTGACACTGATATTTATGGTGGTGAGTTATACTGGTCCCCACTGATATTCCCTGTTTCACAGTAGCATTTAGTTAACTAACTTCACCTCCATGGCTACTTAACCTTTTGCTTCCTTTTCAGTTTCTAATAAAGGTATCTATTAGTGCTGGTGATAATACATGCTTTAGAAAGGGACTGCACAGTGTGAGTCTTGCAAATATTTAATGTTTCAATGTTATTCTAACATGTGGCTCCTAAAAATATAAACTCTTATAAAAATGAGTCCTTTCACACTGGGGCAGATTTTAAAAATTTGATTGCTTCTATACTGTGTTGCTTTTTTATATTTTTCCTCCAATTTACTTAGTAGTTTGATATGTTTATTATCACTAGGACTATTCAATATACCATGCTGCATAATAAATAACAACAATTAAGCATTTAACAGATGCACTTCACGTTTAATAGCTTATTGAATGTACCATTCATTTTTAACATACTTCATAAGTGTAAAACTGGAATTAATTAAAATCTAAACACTTTAATACTATCTGTATAAATAACTTTGTAGGGGAAAGATGAGTTTTGTTTGTTTGGTGTTTAAGCTGATCTTTACATTAATCTCTGTTGAATGGTCTTTTGTATATTGTGAATTAAATCCTCCTGAACAGGTGTATGCATGTTTAGTGAGGCTGACTTTGGAGCAACACTGATACTGTAACACTTGAGGTTCTAGACTCTCCACTTGGTGTTGTGTGAAATAGATAGAAAATACATGATATTTATTCTATTTTTGTCTTTTTCCTTGTCAAATGAGGCTTTGTACATATTAAACCATAACTTACGGGAATCTAAAATAAAACAGGGGCACAGAATATATTCATTCTCTTCATAAAAGTAAGGTGTCATTCAGGAAAAAACACAAAATATGTACCAGAACACAGAATGATATATTAGATACATTTAGTGAGGAAAACACCATTCAGTTGACTTACAACTCAGAAATACCAGAGGTAATTCTTCTGAATTTTCATAGTCTTGCAAAATGAGTCAGCAGTCCTTAACAGTGCCAAAACTGGGTAATTAGTTATTGCCTGTGACTATCAATTGTGTTCTTGACTCCAGATTGCCCTTTTCTCCCAACTTTAAGTTGTCAGTGTACTAGTTTTTAAGGAATTCATAGCACATACTATATTAAAATTAAGTGTTCTATTTATGTCAACCAGTAAATCCTGTACCCTAATAAACAAGAGTTTATTATGTTTCTGCTCACATTTTTAAAAAATGCAATAATGTACTGTAATGGTTCAGACTACTACTGCACTTTAGAGCAATTTAATCCTATATTTTAAAATTTCTATAGAAGAACATTGGAGTATTTACAGAAAGCACTCTGTTATTACAGAAAGCACTCTTATTCTGACTTCCATGAAGGCACATGAAATACCATAACACTTCAAAAGCCAACAGAGTGTAATGTCAGAAATGGGTCTTATATTTATAGCTGTCTGTTTACTGTGGTTATTTCTTGTGGGTTAATCAATGGTTCTTTATTACCAGACTGGGGAACAGCTTGAATTCTAAATTTGAAGTCAAATTTATCGTAAGAGGAGAATACAAGGCTTGAATTCTGAAAAGACGCCTCACGTTGTCTAGAAAATACTGAACAAAGGATATTGCAAAGTGGAGTGTACCTTTTATCCCCTTGGTTTATATTTCTGAATACAATAGCTTTGCTTTATTTGTGTTTTGATGGAAGCCCAGAAGATTTTCATAACTATCAGTCTTGCACTATGACTCACATCAGTGACCTCTTACTCCCCGTAATAGTTCTGCTGAAGTGAATAGGGGCTGCTAAGGATTAAGGCTCAGCATCCATCCATCAGGCTGCATAGTTGCCTGTGTAAAAACTATCTATCAATTGCTCCCATCTTTAATAATAACATTTTTCATGTATGTGTTCAAAATTGTAGCATTTAACAGGTTGAGATATGTTATGTCTGTCAAAAACCTAATTTGTTGAGCTGTGTAGTTGTGTAACACAATGATTTTTAATTAAATGGCCAATGTGGAGCAAAATCTTTGTCCAAAATGCATTTGATCAGTATTAAAATAAAATTTAGACACTAATTATTTTATTTTTTCTTGTTCCAGCAAAGCCAGTTACAGAGAGGCAGCCAATTCTTCTCACACCAACAGGTAGCTCAAGTACCAAAGTGGAACTCAGAGGAAATGTGCTTTTGTTGGAGTGCATTGCAGCAGGATTGTGAGTAATTTTTTAGACAGTGTTTTTCTAAATAAAAATACAGAAACAGAGGGAAACATTTCAGAGATGCTTAAAATGTTACCACTGTATAAGCTTAGGTATTTCAAAGAAACAGAAATGTAAAATGGAAAGAACTCTTTTAAGGAAGTCCACCATTTACTTGGGCATCAGTAGATTTTAAAACTGACTCTGAACAGAAGTTTGGCCTCTGCCTTCTCATAATCTGAACCCTATGCACAGGATTCAGGTTGTACTATTGTTTTTTTAAAGGATGCAAGCAACAAATGCCATAGGGTAAACTCAGACACACATCTGCAGAACTGCAGTCAGGAATCAAGCCTCTGATTTTTTTCCTAAATTTACAATCATTAGGCTCTCAAATTGTATAAAAATAGATAAGAATCTGCTGGTCTAATCTGAAAAAGCTGCTTACAGATGCTAATAATTACTTAGTAGATCAGCTAGGTGGGAGTTGTTAGAACATACCTTCAGCTCCTTACATCCAATTTCTCATTGTAATTGAGTTTAATTGGTACTTGTTTCTTAGATGTAATGCAAGTTTGCTTCTGCTGGTTATTGTGCAAGTAGAAAATGACTAAAGAGCAATTTAATTTCATCAATTTGATTTTAAATCAGTTCATTGTTAGGAACAAATCTGAGAATAGATTGGTTCGTGCAGAAGTGGAAAATCTTTAGTACTATTTGAGGAACTGGAAACGTGTTTACAGTGCACAAAAGCATATAACGCAGAGTGCTCTGAGGTAGCCATGAGGAAAGCCAATAAAAATGGGGCCAGACTCTTCTCAGTTGTGCCCGGTGACAGGACAAGGGGCAACAGGCACAAACTGGAACACAGGAAGTTCCACCTGAATATGAGGAAAAACTGCTTTAACTCTGAGGGTGACCGAGCACTGGCACAGGCTGCCCAGAGAGGTTGTGGAGTCTCCTTCTCTGGAGATATTCAAACCCCGCCTTGACACGATGCTGTGCAACCTGCTCTAGGTGATCCTGCTTTAGCAGGGGAGTTGGACTAGATGATCTCCAAAGGTCCCTTCCAACCCCTACCAATCTGTGATTCTGTGTAATTGCAAATGATGCAGCACAGCATCGCACTCGCGTTCACTTGCGTAAGCTCCATAGGGCATGCTCATGCACAGCTTGGCACAGCTTGAAACGAGCATCAGTGCAGTGTTCCTGTCTCAGCTGTGGTCTGCTCAGGTGTCTGCATCAGCACCACTAGTGCTCACTAGAGTCTGCACTACAGTTACGTGCTTTTTCACAGTCCTGCAGTAAAAGTATTCAGTGATCCAAACTCCAGTAAAATGGCTGGATAAAAATGGGGAAGAAAATAGAATATTATGCATTATATGGCTTTGTTTCTTTAGCTGTCATGTAATTTTTTAAAAAAAATTGTCCACAAAGGGCCAGATTCAGACTATGTTTAAAACATCTATTCATAATTGCTGATAGTATAATTAAAATTCAACTTTTCTAGATGTCTCTGCTACAAAATATGTGATAGTAGACTGGTAAGGGAATAGTTGCCTTGAATCATTAGTGTTTGAGAGAGGACATTCTACTCACTAAGCAACGCCTTGTAATTTCTTGTAATATTAAAAGCGTATCTCCATGTGTTTGGACAGCTTTCAACTTCAGTGGATAAGGTGGCGCATAGCCAATATTTAGGCATGGTGCAGTGACAAGTAGCTCATACTTGACTCAGCACTGACTTTTTTTCTTGATTTCTCATAGGAAATATTTCAGTCTCCTTACAGCTCTGCTGTAAAATTTATGATGTTCATGAAGCATTAGGGTATTGCTCAAATGAAGGACAATTATAAACTTGTCATTATCTAGAAACTACCTTTTAAAGCACTGTGAGCATCAATTTAATAGTATAAGTGCAATAAGATTTGAAATACACTTGTATTCATTTCTTAACCATCAGGATTTTTAGATTAATCAGTAGACAAATGTATTCTATACTTATTAAGCCTACGAACAGATGGCCATTGACAGTGTTAGTGAGGCTTGTCATTTCCTAGAAACAAATGCTGGCATGTTTTGCACATTTGCTGGACATCCCCCAAAATCTAGGTAAAGGCTCTTAAAATAATTATTTGTAAAATATATGTTCAAAAAATTAATGTATTGAACTTTTATCTTCCTTTTCTCCAGTCCCTAAATTTGATCTGTGCTTTTGCTTCTCCAGACCCACACCGGTAATCCGCTGGATTAAAGAGGGTGGGGAACTGCCAGCCAACAGAACCTTTTTTGAAAACTTTAAGAAAACTCTCAAGATTATAGATGTTTCTGAAGCTGACTCTGGGAACTACAAATGCATAGCAAGAAATATATTAGGTTCTGCTCATCATGTCATTTCAGTAACTGTGAAAGGTAATACTAAAATAATCCTTAATGCAATATTGTCAGTGTCCAGAAAGCAAGATTGGAGTAAGTTTTCTAGGATAAAATATAGCTGAAATGATGATGGTAAAAATATAGCTGAATGATAATGGTAAAAAACCCAAACCCTCAGGACATGATCGTTAAAGTGACCGAATTCTACCACTGGAAGGACTTTACTATCTCTAATCTCTTTTTTCTTTTTTTAATATGGTATTTTGTTAATCAACAGGCTAAATTGAGACTGTAGTATAACAGAAGTAAAATAATTTCTTAGCTTGTACCAGCGCTCCATTTATTTTAGATCCTTTGATTAGCTATTATTAGACTGCTTCTTTTCCTTGCTTTTGTATCTTCCTCCCCATCTCTCTTCTTCATCTCCTTCTTATTTTCTCCATCTTTTCTGGTCTCCATTCATATAGCCCAGATTCTTCCTCTTCTCTATTTTACTTTTTGTCTTATGGTCTTACATTCTTCCTTTTTCTCTCTTAATTGACATTTTCATTTTTCTATCATCTTCTTCATGTTTTTTACACAAGATGATGTCTTACTAGTTCTAAAAACACTTGCAGTATGTTTGTCCAAATAGGAGTTGTAAGTATGTTTTGAATACCATGAAACAAAAACCTGGAATGACAGCTAATTAGTCATTCAAATAATCAACTGTAGTGCTTACTTTGCATGCTAAATAGCCATTTATTTTATTGTAGAACTGTGTCATTTTATAATCACATTCAAACTCCTTTTTAAGAGCAGAAGTTTCATTTTCTGTTTGCATCTGTCCATCAATCCGAAATCTGAAATTTAATTGCAAGATGTGATAACATATGCTATTTGTGGTTATTTATTGTAAAAGAGATGGAGACATAGATGAATATCTTTTGGTAAGGACAGTATTTCATCCATTTTGATCTCTGTGTATTTTCAGCTGTCTCAGATAAACATCTGGCCCCACTGTAATCACTCATTGAATTGTGCGAGACTGAGGATTTTGCCATTTTGGAATTTCACCCTTGACATGAAATCTTTTTATGTAATCAAACCTGAATTCGTTTCTAACAGCCTAGCTACTGTGAGCATGGCTATCTCTGAAATTAATCAAAAGACCACTCTAGTCTTTGCGGATGCTATACTCAGATAAATTTTGCTTTCTTTATGAAAGGCAAATGAGGTTCAAAGCAGGCAACCCTGAATGAAACAAAGAACCTCTTGTTGCTTATCTCAGAATTTTGAAGTAAATAGCTGCCCCCTTTTTAATGCAGCGCTTAGCCAGTAACTCTGTCTTCTCAAAGTATAATCTACCAGTTAATCATTGACTATCACATATATATATTAAAAAATTATTAACGATGTAAGTCTATATCTATACATACCTTGTTTGAATTATCTTCCGGTTACAATGAGCATGCCTTATGATTTTTTGTACATCAATTGCTGTGTTTCTCTTCCTAACCCCAGCTGCCCCGTACTGGATAACAGCACCCAGAAACTTGGTCTTGTCTCCTGGAGAAGATGGGACATTGATCTGCAGAGCTAACGGCAACCCGAAGCCTAATATAAGCTGGTTAGCAAATGGTGTTCCCATAGCAAGTAAGATTCTTAATTAACTTATGAGGGGATGAGTAAGAGAATATGAGGAATATCAGGGTGTTTTTTCAAATAGAAATGAAGAGCATGTATTTGAGTAGGTTTTGCCTGACAGGTAATACTAAATTATAAATGAGGTGATAAAAATAACTGTGGTTCATAGAAGTGGAACAACAAAATGTGCCTCTAACGTGCTTAAGAGCACTAAAATTTGTGACCATACTCCTGGTTATCCTGTCTGGTGTTCTGCTGGTAGTATCCTTGTGGCCATAGTTAACAAAGCTGCGCCGTGCCCCTTTGACAGGGATTGGCTGGGGTGTCATTTTTACCCTTGTATTGCTGTGGCAGTCACATTTGCTAGATCTCTCCTTTGCCACCCTGCTGCAACACTAATTTTGTCTAGGAGTTGTAAAGGTGACATAAAAAGTCAAGTCCTCACCTCTGTGGATGTACAGAACACTTTTGCAGGATTTGCAGCTTAGATTATGTTTGAGCCTTCCAGGCTTTATCACTAAAAACCAGCAGCAGCAGCAAAACTGACTGGATGCGTCAGCAAGTGCCTGGCAAACAGCTTGTGCCAAGTAGGTGTCAAAGAAAAGGAACCCCTAAGGCAGTGAAACAGCTGTTTCTGTGTGCATGGGTAGGAAAAGCAACCCTGAATTGGTGATTGAGTCACTTAATTGTTGCAGTGTTGCTGTATGACAGACACAAGATAGCTGCTATATACAGCACAACTTTACTTGGGAAGAACTTCCTGGAGGACACTGCAATGTGTTGTCAGTTGTTTTTGCACTCAGCGTAGCCTGTACCATAAAATCACACTTGTTTCTTCTACCTTGATGATCAGAGGGCTGGAGCACCTCTCCTATGAAGACAGGCTGAGAGAGTTGGGGTTGTTCAGCCTGGAGAAGAGAAGGCTCTGGGGAGACCTAGTGGTGGCCTTCCAGTACCTGAAGGGGCCTACAGGAAAGCTGGTGAGGGACTGTTTACAAGGGAATGGAGTGATAGGACAAGGGATAATGACTTTAAGCTGAAGGAGGGTCAATTTACATTAGATATAAGGAAGAAATTCTTTACCGTTAGAGTGGTGAGGCACTGGAACAGGTTGCCCAGAGAGGTTGTGGATGCCCCCTCCCTGGAAGTGTTTAAGACCAGGTTGGATGAGGCTTTGGGCAACCTGGTCTAGTGGAGGGTGTCCCTGCTTGCAGCAGGGGGGTTGGAACTAGATGATCTTTGAGGTCCCTTCCAACCCAAACCATCCTATGATTCTGTGATTCCATGATTCCTCCGATATAAAACCAGACAATCTACCCTGTTGACTTGTGAGAGATAATGTGCTCTGAAATACTCGTCTGTGCTGACCTATTGGAAGTATGACAGTGTAACTTTCAGGAGTTTCAGGGAGTGTTTAAGTCTGTTGATGAAGTAAATGTCATGGAGTTTGGGACATGGAGGAGGATTCTGTACAGTGAGAATTTAAGAAATAGCAACAGGTAAATGAGAACCCTCATTAGATATATTTGAAATATTTGGGATACAAAAGAAATGAAATTGAACAGGAGGGAAAAATATACAACTTTGGTGGGAAAAGTAAGGGTATATATTGAAACAGATAGAAATATTTAGCAAATAACCAGTTTCAGGAATCCTCATTAAATGAAAGTTGATATCTATAGCCTGAGATTTAGAATGAGAAGTTTGCATTGGTTAAATAAGTTATGTAAACTGACATTAACCACCATTTCAGTGAGGTATTTCTTACCTCACCAAACAATGGTAAGTAATCCAGGAAAAGAGGAAAACATCAATGTAATTTTATATTGTGTATATTGTATGTACCTATAGCATAATGCATGCTTTATAATTGAAGTTTGGTACCTGTCATGCTCTTTCCTTTCTCAGTTTTGGGCAGTCTCATCTTCCTTACTATTTTCTATGTAGTTACCATTAACTTTTTTTCTGTTTGTTTTGAGGAGATTTTTATCCTACTGTCCTGATAGTTTAACTCTTATTTTCAGGCCTTCTGACTAGTAAATTTTTTTTCACCTGGCTGTGAAATCCACCTTTGCCTCCCAGCGCTTCCTTGTCAAAGCTGTAGGACATGCCGTTCAAATGACAGACAAGTACATTTTCCAAAAAAGCAATGATATGTTTTGCATTCTTGCAGGATAGGAGTAAAACATTAAGAAATAGAGAGTTTTCAGAAGCAGCTGAGGGATGCCACTGAGTTTCCCAAATACAAGGGCAGCATACATTGACTGGTTGGCCTCGAGGAATCAGTACATAGAGTCTTATTGAAGGGAACTCAGTAAAAATTAAAAGACTTTAATTAAATTACCCACTCAACCTCAGTAGGGAGAAAAAAAAAAAAAGAAAAGAGCACAGGAAATAAATAACTGGGTAGCTCAGCCTTATGTTAAAGGTCACTTTCACTGCTGAGAAAAGCTGAAGTTTTACCCACCTTAAATATTTAAGTGCAAATTTACTGTATGTTCCAGTACATTGAGTCTGTCAGGGCATCTAAGAAAGAGAAGCATCGCGATCACAGAAAGTGCAGTTCTTAAGATTCTTGTGATTTTGTAGTATTCTGAGTTATCAAAAGCTGGTCTGGAAACTACCAAGTACAGTGTGCCTTTTTGTTCACTTGTTACTAAATTATAGAATTAAGCTCCTCTTCTTCCAACTGAGTGATTAGTAAATCACTGTAAAAGGAAACTAAAGCAGCTGTTTCAGCTTTAGGGCAGTGCTGAGAGCGCTACACCCATGGCAGGGTTTCAAAGAAAAAGAGCTACATTTGAATTTCAAAGCCCTGCTGTCATCATATATCCCACAATGTGCCTCCTGTGGCCCAGTAATCTGTTTGCAATACTTTAATTTTCTATTGGAAAGCACAACTGGGAGATGCTTAATTCTTCCGATTTTGTTTTTCCATAATAGAGTCAGACAAGGAAGGGGGAATGTTGAAGACAAGAACCATTCGTCCATATCTCAGTCAAAGAGAGAGGCTTAAATACCAAAAGAGAAAAGGGAAGAATAAAGAAAAAAACAGTATGTCTTAAGCCCCTATGAAAAAAAATTGCAATGGTGTAAATTTTGTTCCATATTATATTAACCAGAGTAAAAAAGATATTTTTAAAGGAAGATTGTCGGTTCCTTTGAAATATTTTAATTAATTTTCTTCAACAGTAACACTTAAAAACTCCAGCATGTCTGAAAAGCAAGCTGCTTCAGACATGCTGGAGTGATAAGGACCTAACCTCTTAATGTTTACTCACAAGAGTAATTTGAACTCACATGCAAAGTCCCATTGAGGTCAATTAGAATTACTTTGGCAAGTAGCAACTGAAAGTTCGGGCCATGACTCTGCCTTGCCTTGTGCTTCAATTAACACTCGAGATCTGCATTATTTATACCGCTGCATAATCCGGTGTTTTACTGCTTAGATATTCAGCATGGTTTTACAAAAGGGAAACCATGCATAAAAGTATCTCAACTTTTAAAAAAGTAACAACCCAGATTAATTGGGAAGGGGAAGCACTTTCATAATTGGACTTCAGAAAGGCATTGCAAATACTACACAAAAGACTAATTTATTGGTTCACTGGTTTATAGTTCATGATGAGCTATTAAATATTAAATACACACACTTAGATTTATACAAAGTAGTACACTGAAAGGCACTGTTTATTTTCTTTTAACATGTTCTTTGCTTGTTTATATCACATTTCACATTGAACCTTAGGTTTTAGTTAGTCTCCATAAGTAATCCCATTGAATTTAAGGGAGAAACATTAGCCCTTAGATTTCCTTCTTGAAAGGCCTTGATAATCCCTGGCTCAGAGACTCATCATCCATCGTATTCTCTGTGAGTCCACAAACAAGCTGTTCACCACAGCCATGGGAGGGTGGGGAGAAATCTGCTGGACTCTGATGCCCCGAGGAGTTCAGTCTTGGAGAGGAGGTAACTGCCAGGACAGGCATTTATCCACCGCTTCTGCTGTCATTGTGTTGGAACTGTGCATCTGGCCTAGGAACTGCAGCAGATATGAAAACCTCTGATGATCAGGGGTTTTTTATTCTGCACAAGGATGGTCATGGCTAGTGCAGGTAATACCTTGCTGTCCCTTTGGAGGTAATAGTACTATCAGAATCAGAAACTTGGAAACAAGGATTTCAGTGTTCACAGGAAAATATTTTTGCTGAGGAGCAAGTGAGAATGGTGAGAAAAGGAAAAGGGCATTTTCTTCCATGTCCCATCTCCTCCAGAATTAAGTCTTTGTCAGTTCACTGCAAGGGGTAGAGTAAGACAAAACTGGATTACTGAAGTTTCTAGTTTTTCTTGCTTAGGTTCAGTCTTGGTTTGACCCTATAGGTTCTCAAGTGTCTGATGCACTATACTGCCCACCCTTGCTGTTTCACTACCAATTTTGTGTTCAACTGCAAAAGCATAGCTTCCAGCCCACCCAACCCCTGAAGGAAAAAGGATTCTAGTCACTTAACGTTCTCTACATACTTGATATGGTACTTAGGCAGTATGATCAGACATCTGAGAGAACAGGTCTGTCTTGCATGATAGTCCCTGATTTGGGCTCTCAAATGTTAGGAGGCAAGTCAGCTACAGCCAGCAGGATGTTAACTGGATGCTCATTCATAGACCATATGGTTTATGATCTACAGGAAACCAGGAGGTCCCTCCATAAGGGACTTGTCTTCTTATCAAGCCACCTCAATGATTACACATTGGATATCCCTCCCAGTTTTCTTGGGTGATTGGTTGATGATGATGTGAAGTCTTCGTTCTATCACATTTTCCTGTTCTTCTAGCTAATATATCTGAAAACAAATGTCCAAAATTATACAAATAATTCTTCAAAAATCCCTTTTCAGTCATTCAGTTGTAGTTAGTTTTAACCACAGAAAGACTTTTCTGGGTTTGAAAATGGTTACTATATTCATAAATTACTCATGAATGTGAGTTTTTGGAGGAAGAAACAGGTCAGAAA